CCCCCCACCCACACACACACACACCCCAGCCCAGGGACAGTGAGTGCCGTACTCACGGGCTCAAGATACCGGTTTCCTCTGGCTCATCCGGCGGGAGGTCCCCGAAGTACACAACTCCCCCCATGGGCTGAGCTCTGGACTTCCCTCTCTGCACCCGGGGGCTCTCTGGCTCTGGAGGGACAAAGGCCTGGCTTCAAGATGGCACCTGTCTCAATGGGGACAAACTAGGACTTTGGGGCACACAATGGGGCAGTGCCCAAGGAAACACATGGCAGGGCCCAGAGCCTGCAGGCCAGGGCTGAGGGGATGCAGGCCAGTCAATGTCCATGCAGCACAAACCCTAAATCCCCAGGGTGACCAGCAATGGCCCCCCAGACAGCTCAGTGGGGGCCGAACCCTGGACCTCCCCACACTCAGCTGTTGCCTGAGGGCTCCTGGATGGCAGACAGTGCCCAAGCCCCCTTGCTGGGGCAGCCGGCCTCAGGCACCAGCCCCGAGGTAGGGCACGGGAGCGTCCGGTCATCAGGGGCCCAGCAATTCAGCCAGCCGCACTTACCCTCCGTGCCCAGGGGAGAGAAGCAGACAACGCCCAGGGGTGGGATCTGGAGGGAAGCCGCCTTGCTTGCTGGGCTGGATGGACACTGTTCGAAATGCACCTTCATGGTCCTTCCCATCAGTGGGGATACGGGCTCTGTGGGAGGCAAAGGGGGCAGGCGGTTACAGCCCGTAGGAAGGGGGGGGACCCAGAGTCAGCACAAGGCACCAGCTCTGAAAGGCGCTGGGCACTCAACGCACCTGGGACACCATCCCTCCCCAGCCTGAGCTCCCTCACCTGTAGTGCCGTCCTCTTGCCAGCCTCTCCACCGGCTCTTCCCCCCTCTGGGGGCACTCGCCTTCCGAGCTGGGGGTCCCAGATCCTCCACATCGCCAGTGGTCTCTCTGGGGCTGAAGGGTTTCTTCACCCGGGGCGTGATCTTACCTGAGCGCAGCATCATGGTGCGGACGGGCAGCTGGGGGCGGTGGAGGAGACAGAAGCATCCAGACCCTTCTAACAACCCACTCTGCGTTGTTAGCGCTCAGCGGGACCAGTCTCAAGAACGCTCAGACCCTTCTCCAACGCCCCCGCCCTAGGGATCTCAACGCGCTTCACAAACGCCCCTCTATTCCCAGCCATAGAGGGA